AGCACACCTGGGACAGGCCACACCCACCCGGTCACATCCACCCGGCCACGCCCAACACACCTGGGACAGGCCACGCCCAGCCCCAAAAGGTGCCTCAGGTGTGTCAGGGACCCTTCCCCACCTCCCAATGGTGGCCCAGGTGTGCAAACAAGTGCGGACAGGTGAGAAACAGGTGAGGACAGGTAAGGGGACATCTGGAAACACCTGAGCACGGGTGAGGCACTCACAGGTGAGGACACCTGAGCACAGGTGAGTGACAGGTGAGAGACAGATGAGCAGAGACGAGGGCAGGTGAGCACAGGTGAGGCACTCACAGGTGAGGGACAGGTGAGCACAGGCAAGGGCAGGGGAGCACACATGAGGGGACACCTGAGGACACCTGAGCACAGGTGAGGCACTCACAGGTGAGCACAGGGGAGCACAGGTGAGGGGAGGTGAGGGACAGGTGAGGACAGGGGAGCACAGGTGAGGGGACACCTGGGGACAGGTGAGGCACTCACAGGTGTGACGTCGTCATGGTCTTGGCGTTGCGGGACTGGGTCACGTGACACGCCTTGCGCAGCAGCGACTCCAGGAACAGCTCCAGGGCCCGCGCTGGCACGCTAAGGACAGGTGTGCACGGGCAGACAGGTGTGGGGGACAGGTGTGCGCGGACAGGTGTGCAGGGAGAGCCCCAGGTGTGCAGGGACAGACAGGTGTGCAGGGACAGCCCCAGGTGTGCAGGGACAGACAGGTGTGCAGGGACAGGTGTGCAGGGACAGACAGGTGTGCAGGGACAGGTGTGCAGGGACAGGTGTGGGGACATCCCCCAGGTGTGCAGGGACAGGTGTGGGGACATCCCCCAGGTGTGCAGGGACAGCCCCCAGGGACACAGGTGACCCCTCCTAACCCCCCCAGGCACACAGGTGACACCACAGGGACACTCCTCAGGTGTCCCACATGGGCAGACTCAGGTGTCACAGGTAGGGGCACCTGGGGGAGGCCGAGCTGTGCAGGGTGGGGGTGCCCAGGTGAGCGGGGCAGGGTCCCAGGTGAGCGGGGCAGGGACCCAAGGGTGCCCAGGTGAGCAGGGCGGGGTCCCAGAGGTGCAGGGCGGGGTCCCAGGGTGCCCAGGTGTGCCAGAGGATACAGATGATGACGGGCACAGCGGCCGCCACCTTCCCGATCTCCTCGTCCGTCTGCATGATCTTCTTGATCCGCGCCTGCAGAGCCCCGCCCTCACCTGAGCGCCCACCTGGAGAGCCCCGCCCACACCTGCAGAGCCCCGCCCTCACCTGGAGAGCCCCGCCCCCACCTGGGACACAACTGCTCCCCACCTGAGCACCCACCTGGAGAGCCCCGCCCTCACCTGAGCGCCCACCTGGAGAGCCCCACCCCCACCTGGAGAG